TGGGGTTTCACTTTTATTAATTACAAATTGGCCCCATTAACTTAGATAAAAATCAATTAAATCCGTTTATGATGTTTGTCACCATATAATTATTTAGTTCGTATATGTGGCATGTATTAACATAAACTTGGTGTAGTTTTTAACACATTTCAATACATAGGATGGTTTCCACCATATTAGTGTAAACATCGTGTAGCTGATAAACTTTTTTCCTTATTAATACCACTATTCTTATTTGTCTAAACAAAATTACCTAACTAATAAATACAACAGTCTACTAGAGAGGTTTGTTTTAGTTAAGCTTACTAGAGAGCAGTGTGGTCCAAACACCTCCTCTGGCTTTAACTGCCTGGGCTGAGAAATTATTTGATTAATTTTTGAGTTGTTTGAAACTTTGATTTGGAAAACATAGATATACAGTGTATTGTTGGTGATCATGAAAACCAGGTATTAGATGTTTTCTCAACACTCACATATACTCTTTAAGACCTAATTAGAATCCCGAACAGCCCAATTTTTTTTGTTTGGAGATTTTAAAGTATGCTTACGTTTCAAATACCATCAACACAAATATTTTTGGTGATCATAGTCATACTAAGCTTCTCATCCGATTTTTGTGGTTAATCTTGTAATTCAATCTGGAAAGGAAATCCAACACATAGTAGAACGATCAATTTATAAATATATACCGTAAGAATCTGGATTTGAGAAACAAAATTGCAAAGCAACAATAAAGTTCTTACTAATTACATTTTGGTGGTTCAAGATTGAAAAGAGACAAATCTAAATTAAAACGTAAAGAGAACATCAACACCAAGACAAACGAATTATTGCACTTCACAGTTGATGAGACAATGAAGATTAATCTGATCAGTCCATTTCCTTTTGTCTTGGTTGATGAGGCAATGGGTATCTATTATTACTTTTGACTATTGATATTGGAGATCCGAGCTTCATTGTTTGCTTCAAATCGATGAAGTGTCTTTTGTTTCCATTTCATTTCAATGAAATTCATTTTGATGAAATTGTAAAGAAAGTAAAACTTGATGAAGTTGGTTAATCGATATTCTCTAAAAATTTGTTTTCTCATATTTTTGGGTACATATATTAATGTGGGAATACATTATGACCTCAAGACGAGTATATTGTCTTGTATATCATCATTCCAAATGAAAGTGTATATTTAAATTATCAAGGGACTAGAAGAGTTAAGAAGTTTCGAAAGATTTACAGCTTCATTATTAATTATAGCAAGAGTTAGGATCCGAAAAGATTGATATGAGTGGCTTACCATCATGTTAAATCTCATATCCTTCATTTGAATTTTGTGAGATCTTACCAATAACATACCAGATTAATAGCAAATCATCATAAGAAATTACTTACGTAGATAATTGTCATTCAAATTGCTTTTGATTACTCTTTCACCAAATAAGACATCTACTACCTATTCAAAAAGAAGTTTGTAGATCACCGTACAAAAATTACACCTAGGCCTACAAATATAAGATAATATACATACAATTATAAAAGAAACAATTTACAAACAAGCGTTTAACAAATTATACTCTCTTTAATTTGAATTCTTCAATAATATCTCGAACAAACTCAACATTGATAGAATATTTGTTTATACTAGATCTGTAGTGATTTGGTTTCATTGATTTGAGATTATAAAGTTTGACATCATCATAGCTAAAAAGACTTCCATGTAGAATAATTATCTTCTAATTTACCACATGTGATAAAGGGAGATAGCAAAAGACATCATTAGAGAGTTTAAAAAGATATAACGGCATATTTAAAATGAAAGTAATTTGTAAGATATATAACTGTTTATTTAAAATTGTAAGATTAAAGTAAAAACAAAAAGAGATAATAAATTTAAAAGCACTTACATGGTGGACATAAGCATTTGAATGCAAACAGTGTTAGAACTGTTTCCACATAGAATGAGACTTGTCTACAAAGTCCCCTCTGTGTCCATACTGATTATCTTTTAAAAAATAGATCATTAAACTCGAAAATATGTAGAACATCATAAGACTGCAATTACATGACATTGATTAATTTATATAAAGAACTGGAAAAAAAAACAGAACGTAACGTATCTTAGCTGAATCACATGGCCGTGAATATTTTCAAAGACTTTTACATATTTTACATCTTTAGAGACATCAACTAGAGAAGGTAGAACCTCCAAGATATGCATTAGTATGTGAACAATATCTTGAACAAACTCAACTTTGATACATTATATGTTTATAATAACTTAGTAGTGATATGATTCCATTTTTACGAAATAACTGTTAACAAGCAAAAAATAAGAATTTGACAAGCAAAAAATAAGAGTTTTTTGTTATACAAAATATCAATATAAACATATGTTTAGGTTATCTGTAGATCGGAAATCCACTGATTTGAAGTGATTACTTCTCCGAAATTCATCCTTCCGTAGAATAATAAAATTTGGGCAAACAATTTTCAGAGTTGTTTCCTTTTTGCCACTTGTGTAAATATGATAAAATTTTCTTCTCTTAAAACATTACACATAGCCTGAATTCAAGTTTGTATCCTAGTAATGAATAAGATCTCTTGTCAATAATCTTATTTGTCTTTCACCAATAAAATAAAATTTGGGAAAACAATTTTCAGAGTTGTTTCCTTTTTGCCACTTGTGTAAATATGATGAAATTTTCTTCTCTTAAAACATTACACATAGCCTGAATTCAAGTTTGTATCCTAGTAATGAATAAGATCTCTTGTCAATAATCTTATTTGTCTTTCACCAATAACAATCACAATACACCTTGATCCAACACTTATATTCACCTTTTGGCAATAGGCTGATATAATTTTTTTGTTTTTTTCTAAAGACATATATAAGTCAGCTTCAAGATGAAATTCCATACAATGGTTTTATACTTTTTGATATACTTTTTAATTTGTAAGGAAACTAGGGAAATAGTTACAAATATCTGAAACCATATTAAGGCCAAATTCCGTGGCCCATAGAATCTAATACTCTATGAGCCCATATGGACTTAGGGCTACCTATATTTTGTATCTTTCACTTCTATAAAAACCTTTTTGCGCCTACCTTCATAAACCCTACTCGTCTCAACCATCTTGTCACTCATCTAAATATGGGAAGCGATACAGAAGCGGAGAAATCTATTATAAAGGAGGAGAAGAAGAAGGTCATCTCTCTTGCTCCTATCGCTAAACCTCTTGCCGGCAAAAAGCTCCAGAAGAGAACATTCAAACTCATTCAAAAAGGTATGTCTTATCATTCTCCAAACTGTGTTCCCTTAGACACACTTATGAGCTTACTTAAACGTTTGTGTAATTTTTGTCTCAGCTGCTGGAAAGAAATGTCTGAAGAGAGGTGTAAAGGAAGTAGTTAAGAGTATAAGACGTGGACAGAAAGGGTTAGTAGTGTTTGGTTTTTATTTTCAGCTTAGTGTTTTTGTGTGTTTTGGATTAAATCTTATTAGAATGATTTGTGTACAAATAAGCCGATGCTCTGGATTAAACATAAAATGAATGTAGCATGGTACTGTACACGAATAATGATTTATGGATCGACATGTCTGCCATCTCTGAGTTTAATATATGATTAGACGGCCTGGTTTAGATCCACATTTTAGTATGCATATATGTCTGGAAAATACAATTGTTATTGAACTTACACGTGTACAATTAAGCCGATGCTCTGGATATTAATAGAATGAAGGAAGCATGGTACTGTGCACGGAAATTAAATCGGATCGACATGTCTGCCATCTTTGATTCATTTTGTGATGAGACGGCCTGGTTTAGATCCACATTCTTGTCTTTTGCTTAGTTCTTTAGTTCAGTAGTTAGAAATCATTTCTGACTTTCACTAATATAATTGTTTGTTTGAGTATAATTATGTTTCACTTTGTAGTATTTTTTTTCTAGTGTAAATTCGTGTACAATTAAGCCGATGCTCTGGATATAAATAGAATGAAGGTAGCATGGTACTGTGCACGAAAAGTGAGCTTGTTGCGGATTGATATGTCTGCCCTCTCTGAGTTTTCTTTGATTGGAGGGCCTGGTTGAGATCCACATTCCTTTTTTTTTTGCTTGTGCTGTCTTTGTTTTGTTCCTTGTGTTTATGTTGTGATTCGTGTACAATTAAGCCGATGCTCTGGATTAAAAGAATGAATGTAGCATGGTACTGTCCACGGAAATTGAATCATGGGTTTGAAATGTCTGTGCCCTCTCTGAGGACTTAAACTGGTTCTTTGATTTGCGGGCCTGGTTTAAACCCACATTCTCTTGTCTTATTTTAGCATATAAATGTTTCTTTTATGCATAACTCTATATGCCTTCTGGTTTTAGTTCTAATTGAATTTTTTTTGTTCTGTAGAATATGTGTTATAGCTGGAAACATATCTCCCATTGATGTGATTACCCATCTTCCAATCTTGTGTGAGGAAGCTGGTGTTCCTTACGTTTACGTTCCTTCCAAAGAGGTAAGCCAATGTCCTTCCTTGAATTCTAATCTCTCTTCTTAAGGAGATCTGTCTAGAGCCTAAACTGTATGTTTTGTGTAATTCAGGATCTTGCGCAAGCTGGGGCTACAAAACGACCAACTTGTTGCGTCTTGGTCATGCTTAAACCGGCTAAAGGAGAGCTAAGCGCAGAAGATCTTGAAAAGCTAAAGAAAGACTACGAACAAGTCGCTGACGATGTTAAAGAGCTTGCCTCTGATGTAATCTGATTATAAACTAGAATCAAAGAACACGCTAACATTGTGTTTCTGTTGTGTGTTTTTGCTGCTTAATTAATATGAAAAGAGTTTCAAAGCACATTTTTTTCCAATTTACTGTCTTTAAAACACAAGTTTCGTATAATTGATTGATGATACTCATAGAACTCTTCATTAATTACATTCATAACAGTATAAAATTTTAAAGACAGGAAAAATGAAAGTATCCCAACAACATTTGTCCGGATTTGTAACTAGGGTCTGGATTCTGTGTCTGGTTGCTATGCTAACCGCCACCAGGCCCACCAATAAGTAAAGTTCTAGATTCTGATTCCTTCACGCCACTAGTGGTGGGGTCCAATTTCTAGGAAAAACATAACTATGTGGGTCTTGTAATAAAAACTAGATGATAACCCGCGCCATGCGCGGAGTGAGTTTTTTAAAAATATGTTGTATTTAAATATATATTTTGCTATCATAATTTTTTTACATTTGATTAGAGATAGGCATTTGGATACCATTTGGTTCGGTTAGATTTTGTTTGGTTTAGATCTTTGCGGTTTGGTTCGAATTTTTGCAGGTTCAGATTGGGTTTAGTTTCGGATAATCCATTTATTTTTTTTATAAAAAAGATTGAAATTCATATATACTTTAAAATTTTCAAAATCTAAAAGTAAAAAATAATATATAATATATAAATTTGAAAAATGAATGCCAAAATACTTAAAATTAACATAAAATTGCTTTATCATAAATATTTGGAAAAAAAATAAAAAAATATTTTAAATATTTTTGGTATTTGGAGTATCGTTTAGCTATTTTTTAAATATGCATTTAACTGTTTTATATATTTCTAAGTATTTTGGAACATTTTAAAAAATATATTAATATATTTAAGTATATAAATCTGGTTCGAGCACTTGGATACCTGAAATATTTCGTTTCAGTTTTTGGTAATCTAAATACCAAAATTTTGAATCCGTTTGGATATCTAACCAATTTTGGTTAAAAATTTGTACAACTTTTTGGATTAGATTTGGTTCGGTTATTTGGATTCAATTTTTTGTCCAACCATATATTTTTTTATTATAACAAAAATTTAAACGAAAGGGATGATGGTTCATACTGATTTCGGGTATGCAACAATTTTTAAACAAAACACACTCTATTATGCGTGATTTATTTAGTTAATCAATATAAACTATTTAAGACCCATTAGAAAAACGATTGGCTGAACTAAAAAACTTTATCATTGATCAAAAAAATTTCAAGGTGAGATTTTTACCATTTT